GGTGGAGAGTGAAGAGGAACCCGCAGGAAAAACTGAGGCCCTGGAAGACCAGCACAATCTAGCCACGCCTTCCTCCCCACCTGTGCCTCCACTCTCCCTCTGATCACCGTGGCCTTCCAGCAGCTCCCTAGACGCCAAGCTCACTCACACACAGTGCATGCGCATTTTCTGTTCCTTCAGCCTTGAAGGATTTGGCACCTGAATCAGACCCCAATTCTGCCTCAAGGCTCCTTATCCTTCAAGTCTTTGTTAAGTGTCATCTTCAGAGAGCAGTTCTTCCCTCTACCACCAGCTTATAGAGTCCATCACAGCACCCCATGGATTTCGTTTATTGAACATTTCACGACTGGCTGCCAGGGCATCCGTCTCTTGGTTTACTTCTTTCTCCTCTAGATTCCCCATCACAGTTCCCTTTACCTGTTCCTTCTCTTCTCCCCACCACTTAATGTGGGAGTGCCCCAGGGCTCAGTCCTGGTCCCCCTCATGTCTGTCAACACTCCCTCCTCTGGCGGTCTCACCCAGTTGTACGTTATCCGTGTGTCAATGATTCCCAAATATTTGTATCTCCAGCTCAGACCTGGCCCCTGAACTCACACTCTTACGTCCAACTATCCATTTGATATCTCCACTTGGAGATCTAATACATTAAGATCCAAAGTCAATTTTCTCTCCAAAAACCTATCTTCAACCTTTTCTATCTCACTAGATATCAACTCCATTATTCCAGTTGCTCAGGCCAAAACCTTTGAGTTAGCTTAATTCTTCTGTTTCTCTCCTGCCTCACATCCCATCTATCAGCAAACCCTGACTACCTTCGAAATATATTTAGAATCTGACTACTTCCCTCTCCATTACTATCACCCTGATCCAAGTCACCAAACATCGCTTGCCTGGATTAGTCAACAGCCTCATCCTCCATCTCCCTGTTTCTACCCTTACCCACTCTCCTTCATCCATTCTCAATACCTTAGCCCGAGAGATTCTTTTAAAACATTAAGGCCTACATAATCGTTGTGCCTTCCTGACCTCCCCAAACGTACTTCTATTACCTCCTTCCACTCTTCCCCTCATTCACACTCTGGACTCTGTGCCGTTCCTCAAGCTCTTCAGGGACACTCCTGCTTTAAGGCCTTTGGCCATTGCCAATCCAAGATTTGGGACACTCTTCCTCCAGATATGTGCTTAGCCAACTCCCTCACCTCTCACCTCCTTCGATCTTTGCTCACATGTTACCTTTTGATGAGGTCTTCCCTGATCAAGCTACTTAAAAGTCAGCCGTGTTCTCCTTCCTTGTTCTATTTACCATTTTCCTCCATAGCATTAATCATCTTTCCATATACTACAATCAGGGTACCAACTCATCGTGGCTTACCAAGAACTTTCCTGGCTTTAGCACCCAAAGTCCCACATCCTGGGAACCCCCTCTCGGTCCTGAGCAAATCAGGACGAAGGTCAACCTAACTATAATTTACTATTTTTACTTTCTCTCTCTCTTCATGATACATAAAATCACTTCCACAGAGCAGGGATCTGTGACTGCTGTGTTCACATAGAACAGTGTTGGCACATAATAGGTGCTCAATAAATAGGGCTCAGCCCCTTGGTCATCACTACCCTAAACAGCCTGCTGCATGAAAGTCACCTAGCAAACTGGCGGAAAGTATTAGCTGTATAATTTTGGGCTCTTCAAAGTCAATTCCACTGAAACTTGAAACTGTGGCATTATAATATATGACAAAAAAAAAAAACTAGATACAAAAAATTTCCATATGCATACATGAATCATTTCTAACATCCATAAGCCAAGCCAGGATCTTCTCAACCCACTACTATTTTCAAAATAATCCACATGACACCCACACTACACATTTCACTTAAGTGGCCTAACTGAGAGAAGAACTTTGGACACCTCTCCTCTAGTCCTATAACTTCTACATAAAGCAGCGGTTTCTAGTACATGCAACTAAGACCTCCAGTACCGGAAACCCGCCAATTCTTACCTCCTGTGTAGAGAAAGGACCCAGACAGGCCTCCAAAGTAGATGAGAGCCAAATGCTCCAGTTTCAGAGGGGACAGGTAGTAGAGGCAAGCGGCACAGACACAGCCCAAAGTGTAGAGGAAGACTCCAAACCGAACAACATCCTGGGGCTCCAAGATTCGGTCCACCAGGGTCCTGTCATCACTCTTTTTGTGGTCAATACCCTTAGAAAAGTCATAGTAAGTGTTGACCAAATTGCCAGCCCCGTGCACAGCCAGGACTGCCACGGCACAACCCAGCAACAGTCTGGGGTCCAGAACGCCCTGAGATCTGTAGGCCAGGGCGCTGCCCAGGGCCACTGGGGTGAGTGAGGCACTGAAGCTCCAGGGCCGTAGGGCCAACACATAGGAGGCGCATTTCTGCTTCCAAGAGCGCTGGGGGAGCCTGTCCCTCTCCGGACAATCGTCCCCTGGCAGGTCCTTGTCCCCGGCTTTGGCCGTCTCTCCCGCCTGGATGCTAATCTTCTCCCCCGAGACCTGCGAGGCCGCCATGAATGCTGCACGTGGCTGAAATTAATGTGAATAGTGAGCCACGCACAGAACAGCGACTGCCGTGGGACGAGGAGGGACAGGGCGAGGCGGCCGGAGCTGACCTTTCTTTGGTTCCGCCCCGGGGCAGTGCTGAGGGGGCGGCGGGGCCCCGGGGCAACAACAAGAGGGCCTGGCACCCCACGAGGCCCGGTGGCACCGCTCGGACCTCTTGTCACCTAGACTAAGCGTGTCTTCGGACCCTAGCCGGGCGCTAGAGCCCAAAGCTGACGGAGGATACCGGGGCCGCCATCTTGTGCACCCGCCTCTGGAGGCCGGGCGGGAAACAGGGGCTGGCCGCGTGGGCCGGGTTGGGCTGGGTGGGGCCGAGTCCGGAACTGGGGGCGGAGCGGGGCGGGGAGGCGACGCTGCGGTCTACGCCTTCTCTGGCCGAGGATCCGCGCCCCGCAGCGGCCCCAGACTCGCTGGAAAGATCCTCGCTTGGCAGCACAAGCTCGGTCGCGAATGGTTGTGGCTTTCGAATTTACCAAGAGCTTTCACTCACCGAAATAGGACTCATTCATTTTTTCATGCAACGAGCATTTATTGAGCGCCTACCCTATACAACAAGCATTTATTGAGCACTAATTGTACACAGCAGTGGGAATAAAAGGACAAAAATCAGGGAGCACATTGAGGGAGGTGAGAAAGGTAAAGTTATCCCCCCTTTTTAAATGGGGAACTTGAAGTTTTCTATTGCGCGATTACCAATGTCATATACTGCCCTGCCTATCTTTTAATCCATATTTTAATTTATTCATACAAATAACTGCCCTCCTCAACCTACCAGACGGCCAGCTCTGTGTCTTGTTGCCAGCCTTCATTGCCCACCTTCTGGGAGCTTCCTAACTTCTTCTGACTGGAGAGAGCCAATTATTAAAATTTCTAGGAATTTTGTGAGCTAGTCATTAAGGACATCCATAATTAAAAATTAAACTTCACAAACTTACAATTAGATAAATTATATTAAAAACAAAGCTAACAAATACTCAAAACTCATTACTTCCTAATTCACTACATCTTACGATTTGTGCTCTTCGGGTTGTTTACATTTGTTGTATCTTCATTGTGGAAAAAACCATGGGCTCCTGCTCATCTCTTCCCAGCTTTTCATTCAATGTCATCCGTTGATAGTTTAAAATCTGCCATTGTACTAGTATTTATACCACACAAATCAGCAAATGCTTGCTAATTGTTTTGTTGATCATCTAGACTTAAGAAAGTGATGGGGAAAAATTAATAATGCCAATTAAACTTAAAAGTGTATCAACTCTGTAGCAGTTGTGAAGAGCATCAAAAATTTGAGAGAATATTCTTACAGTATTAGAAAAGTATTATCCAATTCAGCAAGGAAGGCTTCGTGCCATTGACAAACCAGTGAAGTTTCAAGCTATCTCTTATTTCACTTTCCTCTTACTCATTATCATAAAAGAAAAGACCAACCAACATTTATGTTGGAACTACACTCATTAGTCAATTGCAACCTGAAGGAGGCTACACAATATCAAAAAAAAAAAAAAAGCATACTATTAGAATCAATTGGCTATATGGAATTTATAATTAAAAGTGTATTTTGTATATTTTGTTATTTGTAAGTTATATGCTACACATCCTTTATATCAGTGAAAGTTATAAAACGCATGTAACATATATGTACACAGGACTGACAATGTAATTTTGGTGCCCAGTGCAAAATAAAAATGTGGGGTCCCTTACTGAAAAAGCATTAAGAATTTCAAGACAGAGCATTACAACTTCACAGGTGACAACAGCCATGAAGCCAGCCCTATGTATACATACATATCCCCCTCCCTTACCAGCTAGTTGGCTGTTAAACATTTACAACTTTAGCATTCAAACCCAAGCGTCCTATACTCCGAATCAGACAAGAGGAAGAAGCAGATATTTGTAAATCTGGCTCCATCACTTACCAACTCTAAGACCTAATCCTTCTGTCAGTTTACCCATGGTTAAAGTATAAAGTGGGAACAATAAAATCTACCTCATAGAAATACTCAGAAATAACAGCGACAGCATTTATTGACTGTTCACGTGTCATATAGTGTTGGAGGTACTTTACGTGTATTAGCGTTTAGCCCCCACGGCACTGCTTACCGAGGTACATATATTATAATCCTTCCAGTTCTATAAATAAGCAAATAGCTACATAAAGATTAAGTACTCATATAGTTATTAAGTGCTGGAGCTAAGTTTTAGATTCAGTTAGTTTGACTCCACCCTGCTTTTAACCACTACTCTATAATTTCCACCAAAACGCTGGATAATTTGTAAGTGTTCAATAAACATTAGTTTTATTTTAACATAATAAGAAAACGCTTTGTAAACTTAAAAAAGAGACCTACAAATGCACTGATTACTGTTGCTATAAAACCATCTTTGTTAATTAGAAAACAGAGTCTTATGATGTCTTACGGTGGCAAAATTTTCTGTTGCTGTTCTAAATGAAAATTGATCCCTTACAGAGATCAATTTGACACTATCCGTCAAACTACACATGCATTTGCCCTCCGACCCTGTAATCCCATTTCTGGGTATTTATTTTGGTATAGTTGCCAGGGAATAAAATTATATATGCATAAAGGAATTCATTGCTGCATCATTAGTAATAGCAAGAATTCGGAAACAACACAAATGTCCATTAATAGAGGACTAGAAAAATAAATTATGGTACCTCCATGTGATGGAATATTATGCACCTGTAACAACAAAAGAACAAGGAAGTTCTCTACTAAGATGAAAAGATCTCCAAGACATGAACATTTCTAGAAGTGCAGAAAGCGTATATAGTGTAACAAAAGAAGAAAATAAGTATGTGTTTATATTTGCTTGTATTTACATAAAGTATAGGGATACATAAGAAGAAAGTAAGTAAAGGGGCAGGGGTGGAGCAAGACTTTTTGTGATAAATGTAATTTTTATTTATTCTGAGATTTGAACGGTGAATATGTTACATATTCAAAAATGTTTAATGATTAAATATAGAGATATTTATATGAACACAAGTAGAAAATGTGAAATTCAGAGGAATGATTTTCGCAGAAGAATCAATGCAATGAAAAGACTCTCAGGTCCATAAAATGCGCTAGTCCGAAACTTTCGCATCTTTTGCTCTAGTAATTACAGGGCGCCAACACGGCTCACACACTCCTCTCAGAATTAAACAGGTCAACATCGCGAACCTCCGCCTACCGTCGCTTGATCCCATCGCGGGAACCAAACAGGGGACTACGAGGGTCCGCAACTCCGATGCAGAAGGGAATTATAGTAGCGATGCACCGGATGTGTGCGTGGAAGTGACTGAAGTCAACTCACGACCGATTGGTTCGCCCGAGAAGACCTAAGCTTCCTTTCGCCTGCCACTGGCCGCGTGGTTTGTCTATTTGAACAGTCCCCGCCCCCTGGAGAAGCCGGGTCCCGAAGCTTCACTTCTCTTTCATTACTATTGGTCTGTTTTTCAGTCCATCTTCATCTTGCGCCTGTCGATTGGTTCTTAGGACTAGGAGCGCGCCCGCCTTCCCTCCCGGCTCAGAGGACAGCGGGGAAGGCGGGTGGTAGGGCTGGGGGCCTGAAGCGGCGGCACCGGCGTTGGTGGCGGCAGCTGAGGCCTTGGCCGAAGCCGCGCGGTGAGTCTGGAGCCTGGCATCGACCCCTCCAAGGCAGCGGAATGTCCAGACCCACAGCCAGCCTGGTCTGTGGGGAGACGGGGGGTCCCGGGAAGCCGCGGTCCTGGGACAAGGGGTCCCCTCAGAGCCTGCCCCACAGACTTGGGCGCTGCCTGAGCCCTTGACCCCCACCCTGCGAGGTACTGCCTACCTCCTTCCGGACCCCCAGGAGACCCACGGACCCTTGAGCCTGCCGTGCGTCTCTGGCGCGGAGAAGGCCGGCCCTTTAGCTCCGGTACTGTCGGGGCGCCTTCGCATCTCCTTGCCCGTCCAGTCACCCCATCTACAGATTGTCCTCAGAAAGGACAAACGTCAGTGTCAGCCCCTTGCGGCCCACCCCCGGAGACCTCTCAGGGACCCCCGGAGCTGAGTTCTGTTTCGTCCTTGGGTTTCATCCTCTCTGCCTTCCACTCCCCCATTCCTAGTTTCAGCCACCCAACTTTAACTTCGGTAAGTCTGGGCCAAGTGCCTTACGGTATTTTGACTTCTAGTATTTTAATTGAATTCTCCCTGGAGCAGATGACCCGGGGGCCTTAGACTTTATAAAGGTGGGCCGGGTCTTTCCTGAGAATGGAAATTCCTTGCCAGTCTCCCTCCCTCCTCATCACAGAGGCGTGGTCACAAACTCTATGGCAGTTTTCTCATCAGGGATCTTAGGGTTTCCTCTCCCCTGAAGGATGACATTTCCTTTCCTTTGGCACTGAAGTATTTAAAAGCTTTTCAAAACCAATTATTCCATTTTTTTCCCTGGGCATCGCAGAGTCTTTCAAAAATAAGAATTTTGAAAAGTTAATTTTTCAATATCTCGACATACCTAGGATAAGTATATATATGTTACTCCCATAGCGGCTCTATTATGGCCACTTTGTTATGGTTGCCTGATTATTTGTATTTTCCCCTAGATCGTAAGCTCGTCGAGGGAAGGACAGTACCTAATTGAGGAATAAATGAATGATCTCAAGAACTAATCAGTCTCTTTTAGCATACGTTTGAAGTACTGATATTCTATAGAACTGCACTGTCCAATGCAATAACCACTCAGCTACGTGTGGCTTAGAGCAAGGGAAATGAGACTAGTCCAAATTGAGTTTTCCATAAGTGTAAAATGCACACTAGATTTTGGAGACTCGGAACAAGAAAGAACGGAAAATATATATCAGTAATGCTTTATACTGATAACATGTCGAAATGATATTTTGGATATACCGGGTTAAATAAAATGTATTAACTTCACCTTTTTCTTTTTGCCTTTTTCGATATGTCTACAAGGAAGTTTAAAATTACATTCGTATTATATTTCTTATTATATTTCTGTTGGACAATGCTACTATAGAATAATAATTTCCCTCTTTAAATTATTTGAGAAAAGGGGCAGTCTTAGGCATGTTTTATTCTCTACCTTCCCACCTCCATCTAGTACTTGGCACTGTGCCATGTACATACAGATAGTGATGTAAAATAGAATGATGATAGTAATAACTAACAGAACTCATTGTGTGTTCAGCACTGTTTTAAATACTTTTTAACATGTACTAACTTAATCCTCACATCAACCCTATGAGTTAGGTACTATTATTCACCTATTGCAGTTAAGGAA